AGCTGCGAAGAAGCTTGTCCTTAATCCTGTACATCTAGGTGTCGTAACTTGGGGCATCTAAAGCAGATAGAGACCGTTGAGGGGTATTTGAGCCCATCTTTGTGTAAGATACGATATTGTCTGCTGTCCTAGCCTTGCATACATTGCTGGACTTGCCAAGAGCCTCAACAACCTTAAGGGGTGCTAGAGCTTCTCCGGTGGGTACACAGTTGCTGGAGACATGGGAAACCAAGATACCAGAGTGCAAGACCATCGAGGCGCGGAAAAGACACTGGGATGCCATACTGCATATGCCAGCGAACTTCCGCACCATTGCCAGATTTACTGCTACAATGATGTACGTATTCTACATTATAGTACAACTTGACTGGAGCAACGATAGCAGTTGCCTAGCATACTGTACTGTACTATACTCTAAGTGAGCTTGTGCGGGCACTCCGGAGGTTATCCTTTGGATTCTAATGCAGGTGCCTTAATCATTGGAACAGGGTTTTGGGATACATTCTACTTTTATTACAATAAGCCCCCCCCCCCCCAATATTATGAAATATTATTATGGGTATTTATCTAGGCCCTATACTATGCGGTTGGGCACAGCACTCCATGGAAATTCTCTCGGGTTGGGAACTCCAGGGATTCTCGGGGGATTCTTCTGCTATATAGCGAGGCCGGACGAGGAATAGACCGGAGAATGGCCGAGTCTTAGGGTTTAGGGTTGAGGGTTGGGGGTTTAGGGTTCAAGGCGGTGTGGGGACAAATCGTAAATAATGCAGCTGTAGGGCCATAAGGAGCCAGAAACCTCATTGATAAGACTGCTAGTACCAACAGAGCCCAGTACCATTCAATTAAAGAGGGGTTTTCCTGAAATCATAAACTGGAGGCATACAATGAAGACCCCTGTAATCGCTCTCTGAGTGTAATCCCTGCCGCCTTCATAGTGGCCAGGACACTTGATGGCACTAACGTAGGCGCCCTCATCGTCGAAACCCTGAGCCGTGGGGGCAGTGGCAAAGCAAAGGCCACTGTGGCCACCACCACTCGGTTTCGGGACGAAGGTTTGATGGTTAATGTTCAGAAATTTTGGGTTCAGGAATTGGGGCTTAGAGATTAAAGCCCCAAACCCTCAACCTTATTATTAAGTTGGATTGTAGGGTTGAAACCATCGGCTTTAGGCTAGGTTCCTGGGTTGTCGCCGTAGCGTTGAACCACCATCATTCCTGTTCTTCTGCTATGGATACTGTTGGGGCCTTCAAACTTAGAGGAAAGTCTCTCTAAAGGGTTCTGTTTAAAGTGCCTACAAGGAATCCACAAAGGCTTTTAAATTATGTTGTCGGAAATTAGTGAGTTTGGGGATGTTGGTGGTTATAGTCTGGTATAGTTAGTTCTGAAGAACAATCTCGATAATTTGTTCAGGGCCCGATGTTATACGATGCTGATTGATAGAGGTTGGCAGGTCTCTGTTTAGGCCGCAGCTCCAGCAGCGTCTACGGACTAGCCCCCCCGCCTCTCCCCAGTGCTTAAGTGTAGCGGATGCATAGCTCCAGAGAACGTGAAGCCAGCTCACTTGGTGCCAAAGCGTATGTTAAACCCTTGTTAAATTCATTACTAGATATTCGGGCTTCTATGCCAAGGTAACGCCTGTTAAACCCAAACTACTGTCTTCTGGGGTCTCTGGCTTAGGGTTTGGGGTAAAGGGTTTAAGTTTGTAGAAAGCGTACATGTGCCTGTCTGAAAAAGGGGCTGCCTACATTGCTTGTAGAGTCCTTGCAACCCTCTGCTACGGCCTTCTGGGTGTCGCAAGCAGGTATTTTGTTCTGAGAACCAGCGTAACACCCTAGAGCTCAACCAAACTTCCCCAGACCCTAGACCACGTCCCACGCTTCGCATCCAAGACCCCTGCCCACTTGATGTGCTTGCCCATGCCGGCGACCGTCAGGGACTCGCCAGCAGTGCCAGCCTGCACGTCTGTTGCCGATGGACCCTAAACCCTACAGTAAGCCCTAAAGCCTAAACCGTCGTTATTCAGATTTCAGGTTCCTGCTGCTGCAGCCCTTGCCATGGCCAAACCCTAAACCCTAGACCCTAGAACGGCATTGGCAAGTTCATACATTATATACATGGGGGAGGGAGCCTGATAGCACGTCGTCCTTTAACAAGCGGCTCAGGATTCTTGAAGAGGGCATGATTGCTATCCTAAGCCACAACATCTAGACGCGATGTGCCTTGGACCTTCCAGGGTAGCCAGGCAGGCTGTTGAGGGTGCAGTTTTCTTGGCTGTGACAGTTACATCCCCTCCACTATGCCCACCGGCTGAATGCAACTCGTGTAACATAGAAGCCTACATAATTACCAATATTACCGTTCGGATTCCTTATTGTAGTTATACTATAAAGGAGCCCCAAAGCCCTATTCTAATTATTTATGCCACTCTAATATGTGGCTTATCATCCTGCGGAGCCCAGATTGCTTCTCCAGCCCGTCTAGATCCTGACTCGTCGCCTCGAAAAGGAAAACAAAACATGAACACATATACGCGTATATTCCATATGTTAATTCTATATACATATATACCTATATACATTTTTTCATATATATATATACACACATATATATAATATATATATATATATATATCTGTGTGTGTGAAGATTTGCTTGTTTAATTACTTATGCATTTGTCTGTTTATTTCTGCACCTAAATACAATACATACATCCATCCATCCATCCATCCATCCATCCATGCATGCATGCATGCATGCATGCATGCATGCATGCATGCATGCATGCCTACATACAGTGACATACGTAGCCGACATGGCCCGAAGCCCTGAATCACAGGGGTGGCGATTTTGCCCTCCTGTGCCGGTGGTTTCCAAGACCGGGCAGGAAGGTTGCAGGGTATCGAACTCTACATTGGATCGGGGATTTGGTTCGGGCTTTTGCTAAGCGGGGTCTGTTTTGAGCCTGCGGGACCCAATACGATTTAGGGTCTTGGGTTGAAGGTTTGGGGTTCAGGCAAAGTCCAGACCGCCATTTGTAACCCGAAGGCCCGAACCAGACCCTCAATCTTACATTAGCAATAAGGTATACCCTCACATCAATTAAGAGGCACGCCTCAAAGCACAATGTGGGCCGCAGATGCTGGGGGGAGGGTAGTCCTAAACAGTTAGGATTCAAAACGCTTGACCCGAACTCCTAAAGACACCAAAGAAACCTACACCACCTGAATCCCCAAATTCTATATTGCTTAAAGCCGACACCCTTAACACTGGCTTAAGCAATCCGGGCCCTACCCGATCCCCCAAAGGACCTTTCTAGACTCCTGAAAGGACCCCGAAGCGAAGCCAGGTCACAACCGGTGCTAGCAGCTTGGCGCCCGAGAGCATCTCCTTTTCCTGCCGGGGCGTAGAGTTTAGAGCTGAGGGCCTATAGGGTTTAGGGGTTTAGGGTGTAGGCATTAGGGCTTAGGGTCCCCCTAAACCCAAACCTGTTCGAGGTTTTCTGAAGCTCCAAGTGATTCAAAACCTGTGGGATAAAACACGCTGCATGATTGGGGACTACTTGGAGCTATACCAAGGCCAGGCTTTTTGGTGCATGAGCCCACCTATACACTCTGTCCCCCTAAAACCTAAACGTCCTGAACATCCTACAGCCAGGATAGAGGTGTAGGGTCACGTATGCACAATTTGGGATCCCCGGCTTCAACCGCTTGTAATGCATATCCCAAACCCATGACCCTTGCTGCGACTGGACCACTCAAACGACATCAACCAGCTGCTGTGTCCCGAAAATGTTCGCCTCTTAGCTCATCGCCACTTCTGCTCAGGAAGCGCATCCGTTGGTGGTCTTGAGTTTCCGGATTCTTTTATGGACTTAAGTTAGTGGGATACAGCGCTTCAATATGGATGTGGGCTTAGGGGTTTATGGATAAGGTTGCGGAAATCCGGCCTGAAGATTTTGGAGTTTCTCTATGTTCCTTGTGGTTCGACTTTCTGGTCAATCAGCTTCAGATCCCAACCATAAAACATGGAATACCAAAAGAGGAACAATATGGAGACTGTAGGTAACCCCAGTAACCTTAACGCACCCCTATAATCGATCCTTTATTGAAGCGTTTAAAGGAACCCAATGGAAACTTTCAGGGCCCCTCTACTGAGCCCTACAAGATGCTGCAGGATATCAAAGGAATGCAATTCTAAAGATTAAGCCCCCATTTGAAGGTTCAGCGGGCCTTCTCCTGCCTTAAACTTAAAGCCCTTGCTGACAGGAACCCCTAAAAAGGTGCGCTTCACTGTCCTTCTCTTGGAAGGCTTGATACATCTCCATTTCCACTGAGGTGATCGTGGCCTCCTGGGAGCAGTGTTCGTGGTGTCAGGGTTCAGAGATTTATTAGGGCCTTGAGGATTTCGAAGCGTGAACAACGCAAGTAGTGCCGCGGCGCGAAATAATCAAAACCCTAAACCCCAAGCCCGCCAAAGTCGAAAAACACACACACAACAACAACAACAACAACAACAACAACTTCAACTTCAACTTCTTTTTTAACGACTACTGAGGTCGTCTCCCTAAGTGTCCATGTCACGATGTTCTTAGGGCTCCGCATGATTTCCTCATTATAGCTCTTTTGGGCTACGGGTGTAGAATTACAGAATATGCTTTGGCTTGCAAGTTCCTTCCTGGGTACTTGCGGTTACATCAGGACCCAAGAAGTTTACACTACTCAGACCCCGGATGATCTCACAAGCAGATCTCCCTAGTTGGGACCATTTGAACCGCACTTTCCTTGACCCCCCGAGATCTACATTCTGGATCCTCCCAAGGATCTGGTTATGTAGGTACATGCGCCCTCAACCCTGTACCCGCAACCCTAAACTAAACCCTACACCCTCAACCCTGTAATTACCCTCAGCCCTAAACCCTAAACCCTCAACCTCATACCCTCAGCCCTAAACCCTACACCCTAAACCCTCAACCCTAAGTAGGGAGTCTCGGAAGAGGGCCTTCTCAGCGAAGAGGCCGCCATAGAGACCCAACCTCGACCCGAGGTTTCGGTGCTTCGGGTTTCTAGGGTCTGTAAAGTGGTAGAAGTTGTAGGGTCTTGGGAGGTTGATGTTAGGGTTGAGGGCTTATAGGTCGTTGGGGTTATATTAGGGTTGAGGGTTTAGGGTTTTGGGGGTTTATATTAGGGCTGAGGGTTTGGGGCTTAGGGTTTTCAGGCTGCAGGGATTTGGGGCGAAGGGGCTATGGGGTTCAGGGTTAAAACGTTGTCTCGGGGCTATTGGGCTTAGGTCGGTTTAGGGCTTTCGGGCTATACCATAAACCCTAAACGCCCTAAACATTCTAAATACCCCAAACCCTAAACCCTAAAAGCCCTAAGCCGTAATGTAGTGTTTAGGGGCAAAGTGGTTGCAGGGTCTAGCGGCGCCAAACGTTTCGGGGGATGCCGAGTCGCTAGGGTTGAGGCGTGTAGGCTTAGGGCGGGAGCATTTCCGAGATGGGGGGGCTTCGGGGTTTAAAGTTTGGGCTTTTCTTTCGAGATCCAGGGAACTAACGGTTCGAGGGGGATCTAAAGAAGTCCGCGATTGAGGAGCCCAAAGATCAAAAACCTTGATCAACTCCTCCAGTCTTGCAGGACCTAGAGCCTTGGTTCCACTGTCTGCCGACATGGCTTCCAGGAACCGCTTTCTAGATCTTGTGACGGGTTCTCCAAGAGCCTGACTATAAAACGCACAGTTGGACGGCTGCAGCAGTATCGCGGTAAAGTCTGCAGTCAATCTCCCGTTCCTGGGTCATCATAAGATCTGCTATGGTCGGCCTCAAGTTCAACCCAAGCAACAACAAGGTTAAGGTACATGGTCTTGCTCAGGTTCTCGGTGTAGGGTTTTGAGGATCGAAGGTCAGCGCATGGAGCTACTTGTAGAGGGTCCACGTGCATAAACTTTGGCCCCAAAGAAGCTGCACAGGAACTCCTTTTGGGCCCAAGTCTGCACTATAGTACATTTAGGGTTTAGGGTTCAGGGTTTTCGGGTTTTAGGGTTTAGGGCTTTCGGGTTTTCGGGTTTAGAGAGCCTTAAACCCTAAACCCTAAACCCTAAAATGTCAAGTCACTTATTAAACATGTTCAAAGCCATGTTGCCTTCGGCACACCCCTTATAAAACCTCTGTATAACAAGACGTGAGACACTGTTAGAATTGCTTTTGGCAACCATGGAAACCTCAAGAATCACGATGTAGAACCCCATAAAAAACCCTCAAGACTTCCCTAAAAGCCTCAACACAAAACCCTCAACCCTAAAACCCTAAAACCCTAAACCCTAAACCCCCAAACCCCTAATTCCCTAACCCCTAAGCCCTTAAATCCCCTAAACCCTAAGCCGGGTCACGGGTACTCCTGAAGGAGCTTGGGCGCGGCCGGACCGTTGGCTGACAAGGCGGCGCACCTCGCTTTTGTTGCAGGTTTCCGGGTTTTAGGGTTCAGGGTTCCGGGTTTTAGGGTTTAGGGCTTTTTTTTCAAGGGTTCCGGGTTTACCAGGACCCAAGTACCCTCAAATAGGGGTATATGGTCCCTGATTATGGGTACTTATGGTCTTAAGAGGGTAGATGGAGGGTCTAGGTAGGGTTTAGGGTGAAGGGTTCCGGGTGTGGGGTTTCTATAGGGTTCTAAAATCGCGGTGCAAGGTTACTATACGGTTGTTCAAAAGTCTTTCGGGGTCTTTTAGAGTTCCGACATGGGTAATTCTACAAGCTCACTATGGACCCTAAACCCTAAACCTAAACCGTAAGGGCTTATGTAGGGGATTTCATGGCTTTGGCTAGGGCGTCAGGGCATCGGTGTTCAAGGGTTTAAGGACTTTGGGTTTAAGGCTCGGGTGTTCAAGGCTGTAGGGGCTTAGGGTTGACGATCAAGGCATTGGACAGTTGTCGAAGGGGTCCTCGAACTCGATGTTGCCTAAAACTTACGGTTTAAAGAATAGGGGTTTGGGGTTTAGGGTTCCCCTATTTCGGGGTACCGAATCTGGTTCATAGGAACATAGGGTCCCGGGCGCTAATGCCAATGCACAATTTCTAGGGCTCTACATGCACACACAGAGAAGGTTCAGGGATTGAGCCGTTGGGGACTCCCCGAATGGGGACATATCACCCAAAAGGTCCACGTACTCATACAGTATGTACCCTAAACCCTAAACCCTAAAACCCTAAACCTACTTTGGCCTTAAAAGTGGTCCTTTTGTAGGTGCTTCGGGTACATGGACCCTTCAAAGTTGAAGATTTAGGGCTTAGGGTTAGAAGGCACCGCCACAGAAATCCCACGGGCCATGTACCTATGGGGGATGCTTCAGCAAATCATCAGGATGATCGCTATAATTTAACAGCCATGCTCTCTACAGTTGGGCAGGTAGAGATTGAAAAAAATAGCTAGACAAGGAGGTCGACCGGCCAAGATTGACTCGGCAAATGCGGTGGATAGACTTCTACCCCAGGGGTTCATGTACATATGTTCTATATAATGTACTTTGGCATCAAAGCACCTATGCATGGGCCAAGTGTAATTAGTAGGAACCTGGATTTCAGAACCGTAATTTTAAGACACCCCCGTCCTCGTCATGTTTGGGGTACCCCTCTAAGGTCTGTGCAAAGCGGTGTGGCCGGAGGCATCTGCGACGTTGAGGGTTCCGGCCGCCTTCGTCGCAGAAGCTTAAATCCGTAAGCATGCAATCGACACCAACAAAAATAGAGTTAAAGGTAGATCCTGCATACCCTGCGAAATCTAAACCCTGACCCCCCCTCAAGCCCTGAATTGGAGGAACGCAGCCATGCGGTTCCGTTTGTGGGGATCTTGGGTGCGGGAAACCGGCATGTTCCAATTGGTCGGGTCTGCTTTCCGAACCGTAAGGGCCCATGTGCCCAAATAGTATATACTGTGGCCTTAAAGTAGTCCCTATATAGGTACTTCGGGGCCAAAGTATCTACTGTTCGGGTACATGGACCCTGGGGAAGCAAGCAGCTGGCTGAAAACTAGGCCCCAAACGATGGAAACTGCTGGCTCTAGACACCTACAGACTTCGGCTTAGGGCTTACCTACCAAAACCTATTTCTTGTAGGCTCTTATTATAAGGTAGGGTTTAAGGTTTACTCACCATGAGCCATCCTACACTCGGCTTTCAAGCCTCCTAAACCCTAAACCCCTAAACCCCTAAACCCCAAACCCCAAACCCTAAACCCCTAAACCCTAAACTCTATACCCCTAAACCCTAAATCCTAAACCCCTAAACCCCTAAACCCTAAACCCTAAAAGCCCTAAACCCCTAATTCTCAAGGACTACCAAGATGCACAAAGACGCGTCCGCCGAAGCCCGAACCCTAAGGGCCTCCTCTGGGTCCTATAACCCTTACCTGAAGGGACTCTAAGGGTTCTAGATGGTTCTAAGGGTCCCTTTAAAAGATACTATAGGGTTTAGGGTTTTATTATATGCTAAGGGTCAGGGTACTACAGTGGTATTACGATTTTGGAGAACCACAAGAGTTTAGGGTTCAGGGTATAAGGGAACCATGAGAGTTTAGGGTTTAGAGTATAAGGGAACCATGAGAGTTTAGGGTTTAGGGTATATGGGGTCCATGTACCCAAATAGTATATACTTTTGGCTCCAAAGTATCTTTCTAGGGACGACCCTAAGGCCAAAGGATATACATTACATGAGCACCTGGGCCCTTGGGGAGCGCTCTCCCAAAAACCTGCCCCCCCCAACCTTGGCGGCAGTAAGAGCTGCCTGGAAAGCCACCGCCCGGGGATCCTTGCCACCTCGTGGCTCGTGAGCGGTTCAAAGGTTTCAGAATTCCACTCCTTTTAAAGGTTTACAGGGGTTTAGGGTTTAGGTGTTTAATTGAAGCTGGCAAAGCTACAGCACACCCCAGACCCTTACACGGCTATGTGCCTGGAATTACGTGGTTCCTGTCGTACTGGAGACTTGGAGCTCTCTCGCTCTCTCTCGCTCTCTCTCTCTCTCTCTCTCTCTCTCTCTCTCTCTCGGGTTTAGGGTTTAGGGTTTAGGGCTTAGGGTTTAGGGTTCTCTCACTCTTTGTCATCGCAACTTTTGGACTCCTTCGATACACGGAAACGGATGTCAGCAGAAGAGGTATCTGGCATGTCTACACCGGCTACCAGGTAGATCTTCTGACTTTAAAGGCTTTCTTTGGTTCAAAACCGAGGTCTCGGGGGAATCCTTCCAGTCGAGTGATGTATGTGCAGCTTCAGGGTGATAGGCTTGCGGGCTAACTACCCATAGGCCCCTGAGTAGTTCCTCTCTTTGGTTTATATTTAGAATCCTAGGTATAAGGTAGTCCCAAAAACGAACTACTTAGGGGTCTATGGGTAGGATCTGAATCGGTTCACCGACCGCTGGCCAGCCGAGCGGATTGCGATAACCAGTTTCACGTCGTCGCCGTGCGGAGCAATAAGAAACGAGGACGCGTAGTCTCGGGATTCGGGCTTGCGATGTGGAGTTGGCTCGTCAGTTCGGGTTGTGCAAGCAGGGACACTGTGCTGAACCATAGATGCATGAAACATCGCAATAGTAGAACTCGCAAGCATGCGCCCAAACCCTCAAACGCTTGGCTCCAGAATTGTTATCCCGCCAGCCTCAAGACTGCAAGCACCGTGCTCCCCAAACTCTCATATAAGAAAACGTTACCGCTTAACCCTAAATCCTAAACCCCAAAACCTACGGTCTCTGGCAGCATGGAGCCATATCTGCCTTCGCGAAGGTTTCCAGACCAATTGCTCGGGCCGCCTTTCCAAAGCACATCCAGAGCTGGACTTAGGCTTCAGGCAGGCTTTGCATTGTAGGGCTTCCCTAACCCCTAAACCCCTAAACCCTAAACCCTAGGCTTATTAGGGTTAAGGCTTTAGGGTTCCTGGTCCGGAGGCTCAGGCACCTTCAAAGGGATCTATGAGGGTTAGATCATGGTTACTATGAGGGTGAAGGGTTTAGCTTTCAGTTGCTGTCAGGTTGAGGATGGGGCTCAAGGATAGAGGCTCAAGACGTGCGATTGTATGGGTGGGTATAGGACTCGTTGAGATTCATGTTCAAGTCTTACGTTCAAGCTTCGGGGTGTCGACTAACTACGAAAACAGATTCCAGGACAATGGCTCTGGGGCATGTGGGGATCCGGGTACTAGGGATGTATGTGGATGTTCGTATACTCGGGTGTCGATCGTGGATTCGGTGTTTTGACAGGAGTTGCGGAACACGGCAGCAAAGTGAGACAGCAACGTTCACGAGAGCAGTTAAGGACTAGTTTTGCATGTAAGGCCCTGAAACCACACAAGCTCAAAACTTCAACAACCCTGGATGGACTAAACCTAAACCCTAACCCTAAAGTGCATAGTTCAGCTCTGCCTGCAGTGGCAAGGTGCAGGGCAGTGCGCCCATCAAACCTTGGGAGCAGAAAACCAAATCTACCTATAGTCTCCATTATAGGGTCGGTAGTTCCTTTGGGGGGTTACCTTTCAGGATCCCTAAAATAAAAAATTGGTGGAACCACAACAAGAACTAGAACTCCATTGGAGACGATAGGTATGGCTAACCAGACCGAGCAGCGTTTTGGGGTTCAGAGTTTAGACTACCAGATTGGCAGGAAGGGGTTTATGGCTCACCGCTGTACGGTTAAGGGTTCGTAGGCCGTCTCCTAAGATGACGTAACACTCTTTGCACCAAAAGCTGTTAATTATTGCAGCTGTTGCTATTTCTGTTAACATTGGCAATTGAAATAATTGCTACTACCACTGATCGCCAAACTAGTCGGTCGCAACCGTCACCTGGAATCACTCGTTACACTACAAGTCCGGGTAGTACTGACAGATCAGAAGTTCTCCGCCTGCTCCTCCTGCTGCTGCTGTTGCTGCGGCTGCTGCTACTGCTTTTGCACTGCTTAATCATTAGCTCTACTATTTTGGCGGCTCCTTAATATATTAATATAACTATACTATAGTATACCCCAAAACCCGGCCCCTACATTACGGCTGACCAACTCCAGCGTCACTCGACCGGACGGGGGCCCCGGCTGGCGGACGGCTGCAGCGCCAGGAGAGGCAAGGCGTGCGACGACATTCTGAGCGAAGTCGCGAGAGCTTTACTGGGTTTAGGGGCCGAGGGGCTCTCGGTTCATCTTTGGCGTTGGGTTTAGGTCTTAGGGTTTTAGGACTCATATTATGAGAGAGAGATATATATATATACACATACATATACATTGTCATAATCATAGTAGCAATTAGGAGTTGGATTTTCAATTGGAGTTTGGGGTTGAGGGTGGAGGATAGATCTGGGGTTTTTGGGCCTTTGTTTGCAAGGGTGGGGGAGGGGTCGAAGATTCTGATGATCCCTCAGAGTCCATGTGCCCAAATATTGAATAGCTTAAACCCAATTACCGACGTAGTGACTACTTTAAGGCCGAAGTAGTTAACATGCTGTTTGGGTACATGGACCTTTAGGGTTTGTAAGACTGCGTAAGAATCAAGTGAGGTTGCACAGAGTACTTCAGCACATACAGGGTGCACATCCTAAGAACAAGTATATATATATATGTATATCTGCATACATACATACATACATACGTACATACATACATACATACATACATACATACATGCATGCATGCATGCATGCATACACACACACAACATTAATATATATATATATATACATACCGAGCCGATATATATATATACACACACACATATAATGTAGAAATATATATATATATATACATACATACATATTCATAAAATCCGTTCTTTTTCATTTATTTGTCTATTTATTTATAACAATCGGATCCTTAAGGAATAGTATATTGGTGAAAGATTCAGGCCCCCCATTTGACGTGAAAGTGTAGATTTTGGGGCGCTACAGGACCTGGAACTTCGTAGCCTATTTCGGACAGCGAACCCTAGACAGAAACAGAGAAACAAACCACGGACGCTTGGTTTATGGTTTGAGGATGTTTATGGGGCCTAGGGTTTAGGGTTTGGGCTGTTTAAGGATCAGTGTTTAGGAACCCTAAACCCTAAACCCCAGCGCAACCTGCAGACGGGCCAAGGGAAGGATAAGAAGCAACGTTTTGTAGGGTTTATACGGTTTAGTAGGGTTTAGGGTTTAGGGGTGTTTTTTTCAAGGTACACAGCATGGGCCAAAAATTCCAACCCTAAACCCTAAACCTTAAACCCTAAACCCTAAGCCCTAAACCCTAGCGGCCCGAATCCTGGCTGCCGCTCCTCGGAGAGTGGGGCGCCCTTTTGCTGCACGGCGAGGGCCAGGGGAGTGAATCCGAAGAGCGTGGAACTTTTCAGGGCGGCCTGCGGGAGCTTCAAGGAGGGGTCCAGGGGTTTTAGGGTTTAGGGTGTGTACTTAGGATTTAGCCGTTTAGGGCTTCTCTGGTATAGAGATCCATGTGAGGTCTAGATAGATTATGTTGGAGGCTTTCTTGGTTTGAGTGGCCTTTCGCTCCGCATCGTGCCGGCAAAAATGCTAAGCTTCTCGACTGTATTGGGAGCAACTTCTGCTTGGAGCCTGCGCGGCGAGAAGCCACTCCTTACCTAAACTCCACAGCTACACCCCATCATAACCCCCAAAATGCCGACTATCAAGGACCAAAAGGGCTGGCCGGGGAAAGCCCTCAACACAAGGGCTCTCTTAAGGGCATGCCCTGGTAACCCCTCAGCACAGTACTAGAGACCGTGCAACGCACAGCAGTTTTTAGAATCACCTAAAATAACCCTAAACCCTAAGCCCTGAATTATGGCTAGGATCCGACACTTGCACAGAAAGAAAGGATCTTAAACCCTAGACCTTCAAAACTCAACCCTAAACCAAGACCCCTAAGCCCTCGAAGGTCTCGGGGTTTAGGGACCCTTGGGGTCTAGGGCTCAGGGTTCCGGGACCCTGAACACTACATAGTCACTACATTGCAAGGTGGAGGTAGATCCGTCGAGACCGCCCGCCTCCAGATTGCCTCTTTTCGTTAGCCTGCAGGTGTGAATCTAGAAGGGCTGAATGAAAAAGGCACAGGGTTTCGGGTTTGGGTTTTAGAGTTAAGGCTTCAGGGTTTAGGATTTGGGTTTCAGGGTTAGGGCTTCAGGGTTTAGGGCTTAAGGGCTTTAGGCTTTAGGGCTCTGCCTCTACCGACTGTCCTTGGCACAGGGTTTTGGGAGTATTCTCGTGTGACTTATGTTGGCAGCCTTTGTTTAGATAAACCCTAAACCCTAAACCCAAAACTCTAAACCCTATAAACCCTAAACCGCATAGTCCGCCGCAGTGAAAAAATGCTCCTTTCAAAGGGATCCCTTATGAGCAAAACCTCATGGATCTGAAACCACGAGCTCAGAGAACCGCGGGGCGTTTAAGGCGCAGAGTCTCTAGGCTTTCTTGGGGCTGAAGCTTAGGGTTAGGGTTTCTTCGGGTTTGGTTCAGGGTCGTAGGGTCTCTTTGGGTTTAGGGTTGAAGTATTGTGCTTATAGCCTTTCAGGCCACAGAGAAGCATCAAGATTAGTTGAATATGGTCTACACCAGTCCAAGCAAAATCCGTTATGTAGAGGCATGCATGCCTCAAGGAGAAGATCCTGTCTCTAAACCCACAGTGGAAGCCTGACACGGAGCCCAGAAGTGCAAGCGCTGCGGTGGTCCCTAGACAGTCTGGCCACAACACTCGGGCTGCAGGTCAGAGCCACTGGAGTTGCTCGATTTCTGTATGTATTCGACCAGGAAGATGTGGGCTGTGTGCATGTATAAGTCAACTGATGCCTTACAAACCAGAAAAAAAACCCAAACCTTGTCCCCACAGGGGTTCCTGTAAGGGTTCCTTTTCCCACGCTAGTTCTTGAATCGATTTTTCATAAGGGATTCTAGAAGCTTGATTTGTTTTTTTTTTAATGGGGCTTTGCAGCCGAATAACTCCTCCAAGAACCATGCCACGCTCGGTGAGTCCCCACTCCTGAGCAAACTCACGTTTGGTACGTAAAGTCAAACAGGCAGACAGACCGACCGACCTACCGACAGACAGACAGACAGCTAGCCAGGCAGACAGGCAGTCAGACCGACCGACCGACGGACAGACAGACCGACCGACCGACAGACCGACAAAAACACGCATGCCACATCTACTCTAACATGAGGAGGCACCTACAACACGGTGCCAAGCTGCTGGATGAGGAACATGAGCGGCGTAGCGAGGCCAACACCAGGGTGGTACTTGAAGTAGACTTCCTGAGTTTACCATACGGTTCGGAACACGTCATAGAGACTCATAATACGTGTATGTGTATATATATATATACACACACATGTGTGCATATACATGTACATATACATATTCATATACATATACATATACACATATGTAGATAAACTATCTTAAAGATTCGATCTATCTATCTATCTGTCTGTCTATCATTCTACCTATCTATCCATCCATCTATCCATCTACCTATCTCTCGATCGATGGATCGACCGAACTAACTAACTATCTATCTATCTATCTATCTATCTACCTGAAACTGCCAAGCTGCAAGTGCCGCTACCTTACACCCAAGAACCTACTCCCATCACAGCCCTGCAGCCTACCGCCTGTTCTAAGACCTAACTCAGATCCAAAAGCAGGGTGGATACATTTCTAGGCCCTGTGGGGTTCTTCATGCTTCGACGAGGGCTTTGCGGGCATAGTATCTTAATATACCATAACCATAAACAAGAACCCCAAAGGAAAAGTTGTACTAGCTATTCAGACTTCTGTAGTCAATGAGGTTTTCCTTGGAGCCAAGGGGCCTGCGAGTGGGCGGGAACGCTGCGATCAAGGACATCCTCCGAACGAGCTCGAGGACTGTAGACTTTAGCTTTAAGTTCAGGGTTTATCAGGGGCTTAGGGCAAAAAAGATGGGTATAGGAAGGGTTTTAGGGCATAGATGGGTATAGGGGCATTATCACAGGGTTTAGGGTGCGGGGTTTGGGGTGTTTCTCTAATTGTTCTGTAGGAGTCTTGGGTGCTCTACAAGCCCTAAGCCTCGACCCTAAATCCATTGCCATGGTCCATAAACATCCCCAACACCTGCACCCTAAACCCGCAAAACCGCCTTGTGGGGCGGAAACACCGACCAGATCGTGGACGACAGCTTTGGAGGCAGCGTGGGAGGTGTCTTGGTAGCATTCGGCTTCTCGATCTCCTTGGCTCAGGGGGCCTAGGACTTTTAGGCTGGAACTGTTGAGTTTTAGGGTTTAGGGTTTAGTTTAGGGGTTTGGGGTTCATGGTTTAGGGTTTACGGTTTTTAGAGGTGTAGGGTCTCGGATAGGGTTCTAAGAAATGGATTCTGGGCTCTTATCAGGGCTGTTGTAAGCTGTTGTGACGGTTGGATTTTACAATACCTAGCTTATGCGCATCATGAGGGGTCTATAACGGCGTGTGTGGTGTATTGACCAGGGCTTCATAAAGGTTTTGAAGAATTTACGCGTTTATGAGGGCTCAGATAAGACTGTCAAAGGGTGAGACTTAACTTAAGTTGTCATAGCAGGGGTATGCAATAAACACTGAGATGCTGCGGATTTTCTGTGCTGTACGGCTAGCTGAGGATGTTTTGAGACCATGGCCGATACTAACACGGTTATACTTGGAGGTTCATGGGTAGTTATAAGTACGTAGGGTTATATGTCCCTTAATATGGGTTATAACTATGGTTACCCTATAACTATGGTTACCCTAATTATAACCCCACTTATAACTGCCCATGAACCTCCAAGTACGCAGTTTCGGGAGGGAGCTCGGGACCTAACCAAACCTAAGGCAGCACAACTCAAGCTTTGCAAGGAACATCAAAGCGGGACGGCCTACCACAGACCCTGCGCTGACTTCCGGCTTCAAAGACATCGAAGATTCCGTGACCCTAAACCCTGAACCCTAAACTCTAAACCCTAAACTCTAGACCCTAAACCCTAGACCCCAAACTCTAAACCCTAATCCCTAAACCCTAGCTCTAAACCCTGCGATGCAGGCCGCGAGCCCCCACTTCCCTACATGTCTGATGGCGCATCAGCTACAGGAGGTCCTGAAGCTCCCGGAAAAGGTCCGGGGTTCGGGTCAACGGCGTCCTAGGGCTCCTCTAAATGAAGCTCTTGCCAAGCCCCGAACGTGTAAACCCTGACCCAGAATTACCGCAACCCTATCAGCCCTAAACCTTACCCTAAGGGTCCAAGTACCTAATAATCATATACTCTTCTGAACACTAACCTACAAAACTACTATCCGCAACCCAAGTACATGATTATTAGGTGGACCCTTAGGGTTACTAGACTACCAACCTGAGACTGCAAACAAACATTTTGGTTCCGGGTGACCCTGCCATTCCTAGCGCAGACTATACCAAGCCACACCCTACACCCCTCAACCCAAATCCTACAAAACCCTTTGAGTTTAAGGCTTAGGGCTTATAAAACCCGAACTCCCTTAAACCCTAAACCTTATAAACGCCTGAAGACAAAAGCGTCACCCCTTAAACCCCTGAGCCCAAAGTCCCTTAAGGCAAAAAACCCTAAACCCTAATCGCCTTAAGGCCACGAAGCCCTAAACCCTTAAAACCCCTAAAGCATCGCTCCTCGATCTGAACCCTATAATCCTCACGCGTAAAACCCGAGCTGCGTTCCAGGGTTTCTCGAGCTCGCCAACCTGCACCAGGAGGTCTGCACCAGCCTTGTGGGGGTGCTTCCGGACGCTTCGGGCAGTTAAAGGATTTTGGGAGGGATCTATAAGGTTTTTTTGTGTTTTTAATCGCTCCTTTTTCGGTTCTGAGAGACGGGCCATAAGGGGTTTAGGGTTTAGGGGGATCTCAGACGCTTCCCCTAAGGGTCCATGTGCCCAAATAGTAGATACTTTGGGCCCAAAGTACCTACACGTAGGGACTACTTTAAGGCAAAAGTATGTACTAGTTCGGCACATGGACCCTTAGAGTTCTGGTTGTTAAAGGATTTTTGATCGGATCTATAAGGGTTTCTTCAAGGATTTCTGAAGGGATCTCGTTTCTAGAAGGGCTCTTGAAAGGGTTTGAGAGCTTAGGATTTTCCGGGTTTAGGGGTTGTGGGGTTGAAGGTTGGATTCCTGGAGCTTCTTGATTGATTCAAAACCCTAAACCCCAAACCTCATGTATGAAGGTCGAGCGTTAGAGGGTGTCTACGGAGTCTGAGCCAAGGGTCCCAGTAGTCCCTGATTTGGTGTCAGGTAATATAGAGGTCTTTGTCCTTAGGATACTAGCATCAGGGTTGGGTTTAGGGTTTAGGGTACAGCTTCAGACCCTCCTACACTGATGCATCCTTCTCTGGAGGCTTGTCGTCTTCGCGCAACAGCTTCTGAGCAGGGGCAGGAGTTTCAAGTGCATGAGCTGCGTTCAAGCTTGTCAGATCCTTCAGACAAGCCTAAACCCTAAACCCTAAACCCCCTAGACCCTAAAGCAAGAAAACCCCCAACCCTAAAACCTAAACCCTAAACCCCTAAACCGAAAACCTTGTAGCCAGAGAACCCTGGGGTTTAGGGGTTTAGGGTTTAATTAGGGGCTTAGGGTTTAACCTTTTGGGGGGTTTAAGGGTTGGGGTGTAGGGTTTAGAGGTTTAGGGGTTCAGGGTTTAGGGGTTTAGGGTTCAGGGCTTAGCAAGACCCTAAGGGCATTGCATCAAGCTGCGACGTCCATGAGCCACTGGAGGAACTTCTGGAAATCGTTCCGGCCGGCCTGGGGCATCAAAGGTCCTATGAGGGCTCCTCTAAGGTTGCCCTGCAGCGTACCATACGGCCTCGACCCAGGCCCAAAGCCCAAAGCCCAAAAACCTAAACCGCAATAATGTAACATGAAATCTGAGGGCTCATTGTCGCTATCCTTTGAGGAAAGCTTTGCAAGTCCCCCTAACCTACACTCTGAAACCGAAGCCCTAAACCCTAAATCCGAAACCCTAACCCTAAAGTCTGAAACCGAAGCCCTCAACCCAAAATCCCAAACCCTAATCCCAAAGTCTGAAACCGAAGCCCTAAACCCCACAGTCTGAAACCGAAGGACCCAAGCCCTAAACCCTAAACCCTAAATGTGTGCCGGAGCTGACCTCCTCTGTCGCCACGGCCGCTTGGAGCTCAGGCTCCTTGGCAGTAATCGCCTGGGAGATTCGTTGTTCCCATTTAGGGTTTAGGTAGGGTTTAGGTTTAGGGTTTGGTTTAGGGATTAGGGTTTAACTTGGTTTGGGGTTTAGGGTTTAGGGTTTGGTTTAGGGCTTAGGGTTTCGGCTTAGGGCATAGACCTCCACGTACGAACACACACAGAGACAGATAATTATACATACATGCAGATACACACACACACACAGACAAACACACACACACACACGCACACACCTCTCTGGCTGGTTTATGCATACTTCTATATGCTTATTTATTTTACGTACGGTAGCTGACTATACATTTATCGTTATATAGTTATATATGTAAACTTACATCTAACTAGTTGTTGTTCTTCAATTATTTGATGAATAATAAGAACTCTAATAATAACAATAACAACATAACACTAACATTAACAACAACAGCAATAATAATAATAACAATAATATGTACGAATACACATATCTACACACACAGATAAAATATACATGTGTATAAATAAATAAACAAATAAATATATGTGTGTACGCACACACGCACAAGTTAGGTACATAGTGGATATGTACGCACAGATAAGTTCCCTTATTCTGTCTATCTATGTAACGGTCTATCTATCTATCCATCTATCTATCTATCTATCTATCTATCTCTCAGAAACACACACACACTCTCTCTCTCTATCTCTCTATCTATCTGTCTATCTATCTACCTAGCTAGCTATCTTTACACATACACAGATCTATATAGTTAATATTTCATACACACACCTGCATAGATTGAGAATAGTTTGCTATTATTTACTTACCTGTTTTGGGAAGGGGGGGGCTTCGAGGGGTTAGTCTGGGCTGTAAGCGAGGTGCTGTGAAGCTCTTGGTGCACTGCCGGTTTCGAGGTCTGCATCACCCAAAGGCTCCATGTAGCTATGTAGTCTATACTTAGGCAACGAAGTAACTGCATGGGAGCCCGTCTAAGGCCTAAGTATATACCAAATACGGGCAAATTGGAGCCTTATTTAGTGTCAAGAGGCTTTAAGGACCGGAAATCGGTCTTGCCTTGCCTTTGTTGCGGTTTCGATGCCTCCATGAAGTCTGCTGGGTTGTTGCTGCATATTGGAGAAAGGGTTCTTGGTGGTGTACGGTTCTTCAATGCTCTTCAAACTACCTAAGCCCTAAACCCTAAACCCCTACAAAGATAGGTTTCATCTGTGCAGGGTTCGCCTCGTCGCTTCGTGGGTCTATGGCCGTACGGAAAGGGCTGAACTGGTTTTGGGGTTTTAGGGTTTTTTTGGGGGGTTTCAGGGAGTAGGGTTTTGCTTAATTTAATGGGTTTGGGGGTTTTAGGGTTTTGGGTTTCAGGGATTAGGGTTTTCGGGTTCAGGGTTTTGGGCTTTAGGGTTTTGTGCCTTGGTCACTCCTTATCCCAATGACCAGGATTCCCAAGCTCGGAGGCCTAAACACGCAACGGGGAATCAGGGTTTAGGGTTTAGGGTTTAGGATTTAGGGTTTAGGGCCGTTTAGGGTTTAGGATTTAGGGTTTAGGGTTTACCCGGCGCTGACCAGACCTGGAGCTGGGTCCCAAACTTCCCAAACCCTAAATACTAAAGCAAGCACACATCCCATAAAGGGCACCCCGCCCAAAGCACAGGCACCTATATTCCGATCTATGGAACTCGAAGCCCGAATAGAAGCCTTACCTCACACCTCCTGGGTTTTAACTGAAAGCATGGCCTAGCGCGGTAAAACTTGGACTCGGTCCTACCGTGGAAATTAGCCTACACGGGAGGTTTGCTCAACTTTGCATGGACATACATTCAAGGCGAAACATCTGCGCCTTAAAGGGAATGGCGCATTGCTCAACCAAAAAGTCAGAGCGGATTCAAGGAACACAACCGATCACAGATCTCCGTTACAGCCCGATGACCCCCGGGAATTCTTATGCATATCATATGGAGGCCTTGCAGTTCACTACACTGTTGTGTTGGAGTGTAGTAATATCGTATATCGTATAATTATCGTTAGCATAAGAAACCTAACAAATAATGCTGGTAAGTATTTGTTTAGGCCGTACATTAACCCCAAACCCTGAACCCTATATGAAAGTCACTCACAAGCAACTTGTCGCAGCTCCAAGTTACGTGGCGAATCTGCGACATCGTCGTACTCTGGCCTTGTAATGAAGGGCCAAGACAGGATCATGTTACTAGCTATTCCGAACCCCCACATGAAATCAGAGCTTATCAGAGCTTCTTGAAACCTGGACCCGGCCGGATGTGTTCTTAGGCGTCAGGTTTAGGAGGCAAGGTCTAGGAAATTTAAATTACGCAAGTACAAACCATCGAGAAGCTATGGTGTTGGGCATCACGGAAAGTTATTGCAAAGAGCTTGTACCAGGCCAACAACGTCGGTACGATCTTAATGCCTTAACCGTCAGAATCTTGAACCACCCCCCACCCCCCCGAAGTCCAAGCATGCGTCCAACGTAGCCAGATCCCGCTTGATCCCTCTTCACCCAATTTCAAGGCCCTTCGACTCTAAATCTAAAACGGAGCACAAACTAGGGCTGCACAGCGCCCCGTAGAAAGCAACGGCCCTTCTCCGTTCTTGCTGTTACTCCAAAAAGCCCCGAGACTACTAGGGTTCAGGGGAGGGGGGGGGGGGTCAGCGAGGCCCTACAAACCCTACCTGGGCCCTATAAACCCTACCTTTTCAAAGCTCCTTACTCTGATTCCCTTAGATAAATACTTCACCACCTCTAAGTGGAGGGATGATATCAGAAAGCACTGCGTATGCTTCTTTCGAACCAAACCCCAAAGCACCGCACGCAACACTGCGTGATGCCGCCGTAGCATGTCCACCAAACTCACAAAACCCCGCGGCATGTTGAATTCAGACACCCGTGACGCCAGAAACTCGAAACCCCACAATAGGAACTCCGAAGCCTTAGTTGACAAACCTACAAGCCCTACACTCCAAGACACTGCACCGGAAATCGTCATGTCCATAAGACCCAAGGACATACAAGCTCTACCATAAACCCTAAAACCCTCGCCAAAGCTCTACTGTAGAGCCTAAGTAAACCCCACACCCTAAACTCCGAAATAAATACTTTCCAGGCGTCTCTTGTTGGTGGCATCCTCCAGCTGCTTCTGAAGGTTTCTCATTTCTGCGGCCTCAAAGGTGGGGGATCTATAGCCCTATGGGTAGTATATGCTTCGGCCTTATAAAGTATTCCATACATGGGTACTATGGTGGCAAAATCTACACGATTTGGGTACATGGACCCGTCAGGGTAGGACTGATCGACTGAAGTACCGAATAGTAAGAATAGACTGATGTCGGGGTCCGAATAACTAGAATAGGGTTTGAGAGAACTTGTTGTATAGCCATAAGGAGGAACCCTGAGGAATAATACTGCATGGCAATGAGGCTTCTATACTATATTAAACTGCGGAGGTGTGGTCTACTAAAGCTACATTGACATGTTAGTCACATACAAGCCCTGTTCATTCAATCCCGAACTTTCCGTTTCACCTAAACCCCCTATTGCTTCATTGAACTTCGCGAATATCAATACCATGCTAAAGCTTTCCAGAAACTCATCTTGAACCCCCTGAGTATGCACAAAGACGATGCTCATCCTTCGGGTTTCTAATTCTTACCCTAAACCCTATAGACCCTAAACCCTAATCCGTTAACTATACCACAAGATGCCCCCACACCCGATTCCAATTTATACCCTCCTAGACGGCCCCCAGAATCGGCGACCATGCCTTGGCCTCGCGGGCAGCACGCAGGGCGGCGATGGCCTTGGCATACGTGGGTTCCCAAAGGTTGTTTGGGGCCCCCTCCCTTCAGCCCTAAACCCCTTCAGCCCTAGACCCCTTCAACCCTAAAGCCTAAACCCCTTCCACCCTAAACCGGAATCCCTTTCAACCCTAAACCCTTAAACCCCTTCAGCCCTAAACCCGAAACCCCTTCCTATCGGCATTTCGAGCTCAGCCTTCAAGGATGCTCACAAGAAAGGTTTCAGGCTAAGGCTTCGAGTGGTCTCGGTCTTAACTGGCTCCAAAAGCAGTGAGTTTTACGAATAATGGGTACCTGAGGTTTAGGGGTTTAGGGGTTTAGGGTACAGCCCCTTTTCGTCCCACCCTTATAAGATACCTCTTGCTCCTTTGATCAGGCTGCTTTTTGCACGTCCATGCGTATTCGGCCCCCCCCCCCCCGTCATAAGCCTGGCATGCGTGCTTCATTCAGATTCGCATGCCCCAAATCGGATCTGGCCCCCTGCCAGCAAGTGAACGGGTCCAGGTATGTCTGTATACAAACATGTTTGTTTATGTAGGTGCCTCAACTCCGAAACCCTGCAAAAAAAACCTAATCCCCCCCCCCCCCAAGCGCTAAAAGAAAGGCCTGGTTGAAGTGCAAGATGGCTGAGTGGAGCGGACGAAGGCCGAATTGCTCCATCGTGCTGGCCATGCCCTTGCCAGCGTAGTGGCTTAGTGCTCCTCTTCCGGAACAACCATGACAAGTACCCCCATCAGAAACACGACGGCCATGATCTTGCCAGTCGGCGCAGGTTTTGGGGGTTTAGGTTTCAGGCTTTAAGGTTCCAGTGGGCTCAGAACATCTAAAATCTTTGCTAAGGGATGCGCTCAGGCATTGTGAGCGAAACGAATAATCACAGCAACAATCCTATTGACACAGGTCGTGTATCTTGTAAGTCGAAAGTGCCTGGGGTTTGCGTTCTGGCGATGATGAACCTAAGTATGGCAATGGCGATGATGATGACGGAGGCGACCAGGATGCTGCTGATCATGAAGACGATGATGGTGCTAATGATGGTGGTGAATGAACAGGGGCAATATAAGCATGTTTCAATTAACAACAAGGGTTGCGAACAAGTTACCTAGAGGTCATCTTGCTCCTCGCTTGGGATGTTGCATCTCTTTGAAGTACCTTCGTTCAAGCCTGAATGCAAGCTACAGAACGCACCGACCCCAACTCCCACCTAATCAAGGAATATGCCACGAATCAAGGCGGACTTCCAATTTGCCTTTGAACACGAAGGGAATTGAGATCTCTGTGCAGCTCACTATACCAAGCCTTCAGAGCATCCGCTGGCACGCAGGCGCAAATAGTCTCAAAGATGTCGGCGGCAGACTTCTCCTGCCAGTGCGGGAGAACTTTCTGGACGGGAGTCTCAGAAAATCGACACGAGTATGTTCTCATGGAAGAAACCTTACAGTAAGAAAACATTAAAAAAAGCTTTCCAAGCAGCAAATTTTAGGGTTTAGTCTGCGCAGAGCCAATGTCTAAGGAGCAATAATGCATAAGGTTGAAGATCCACTGTAGGCCGTCGCCCCCACATAGAGAGCTAAACAATCAGAACCAGGGGTTCACCTCCAGGGATTGAGTCTTCACAAAATTCTTCTACAGGTGCGAACGGTTTTCGAAGCAAGTGTTGCTGATTGTCTTATTGTTCAAACATGCAAACACTGAAACATCGAAGCCCTAAACCCGAAACCCTTCTCAGAATCCAACCCTGGCCCGGACAGCTAGACCCGAAGCAATAAATGTTTGAAGCTGGCCTGATCACTACCTGAAGCCGTAAAGCCACACTTGCACCAATCTCGGTGCCCTTCACGCTACGACCTCCACGCCCCTAATAATAAAGCGGAAGTGCACCGCCCTAAGCGCTGAACAAGTCCCGCACACCTCCTGGTGGTTCCATGCAGCCATCCGAATCAACCTGTCAATCTAGAGCTCACGGTATAGGGCCAGCGTTCGGGGCTTGGGGGCTAGGGGTTGAAGGTGAAGGGGTTTATGGCGTAGGATTTAAAGCATCGGCATTGGGGCAGAGATAGGCACAAGGGTGCTGCGGACCCTCAACCCCTAAGCCGTTCTGAGCTTGCAGCATGTTATGGCTTAGGGTTCCGACCTGTTGATGTGATCTGAAGCCTCGAACGTGCATCCAACGGTTTACACGATGGTGTTAGGGCTTGAACACAACGTTGAGTCGGGCTTTGCGGCTAGGGCTCTGAACGCTTCGGGTTGAGTCAAGCCCCCTTTCGGGTGGCTGGGACCAGGGTACAGAGACCGCACGACTTGGATTGAGCACTTCAAGCTCAGGAAAAGGGCCAAAGCTTCAATCTAACTCGAAGGATTCGGAAGACCTCTGTTTATGGCCACCTGGCCACCTAAACCCTAAACCCTCTTTTTTGTGGCCTATCCCTCAACCGGAAGACTCTGGCGACAGGACTCAAGGCTTCCAAAGAAGGTTCAACCCTGAGGGTTTAGGGTTTGGGGTGTGTGTGTGTGTGTTTTTTTTAAGGCCTTTTTCGTCGCATGCACTCCGAAGCCCGTCTAGGGCAGTCAAGGGTTTAGGGTTTGGGGTTTTGGGTTCAGTTTAGGGTTTAGGTGGTACTTTAGGGGTCATTGCCATGGGCGTTTAAGGGTTAGGGTATAAGGGTCCATGGTATATACGGTGGCCTTAAAGTAGTCCTATATAGGCACTTTGAGGCCCCTCAACCCTAAAGCCTAAACCCCAAAACCGAAAAACCCTAAACCCCAAAACCCTACAACCCTAGACCCTAAAACCCAAAAACCCTAAAACCCTCAACACGAATATACTACTTGGGCACATGGACCCTTAAGGCGCAACAAAAAACAGAGCTGTGGGCCTCTCTGGGAGCGCATGGAGCAATGTCTCCTCAGGCTTCTTTGCGGTTTAGGCTTGGAGGGGTTTGTAGGGTTTAGGTTTTGAGAGATTTTTCAGGGTTTAAGGGTATAGGGTTTTGGGTTCAGGGGTTTAGGGGTCTAGGGCTTAGGTGTTGAGGGTTTGTAGGGTTTAAAGGTAAGGTTGAGGGCTTGCTTTTGCGGTCGAGCTGTCTACGCAGTTTGAATTACGTGCTAAGGTTTGAACCCGCTTGTTCCCCACCTACGCTTGTTACCCTGAACCCCAGTACCAGATTGATTGCGCTTTTGATCTTTACAGATGGACGGTCGAGGTTTATAGTGTGTGGTTTTCAGGGCTTGGCGAATTGAAGTTGAGGTATTCCAGGTTTAGGGCTAGCGGGTTGAGGGCCTAGTAGGGTCGAGAGCTGCATTGGTGTTCTCCATCTTCTCCCAAAAGGCTGCAAGCTTCGGGCTGCAACAATGCGTGGCCGGGAGAGCTACAGCTCAGGACGCGATTTCCCAAAGCAACTTCCGCGCCTCTGTTGCTGTGGGCCAGCTGTCCGGGCCCAAAGGAGGGGGTGCTTGGGGTGCTTCAGGTCCTGCAGCTCTCAAAATCCCGTGGTAGGTGGTGCTCAGGATGTGCAAGTACTGGCACGCACCAACCTCCTCTCCAGGAACACTATGCTTGTACTGGGAACTCCAGCTTGCCGATTTGGTCCAGCGCCGCCTCCTGCTACAGATTGGAATTGGCACCAGCTCGTCCGCAGAACTGGGCAACCGAAAATTCACACCACTCAAGGAAGGAATACACTCTAAAATCGGTTTAGGGGGCTTTGGGTTTAGGGTTTAGGGTGCCCCGTTGTTTAGGGTAATACAGAAGCCTTAATAGATAGAACATGTTAGATTAGGATTTTTTGGGATGTTCTAGTATGATTATATTCAGGAGCACGAGGTACTAAGATCATTGGTCGCTACTGATGATTTCTACACTATATTACCCCAGGGCCAAAGTATAGACTGTTTGAATAAATGGACCTTAGGGAAGGGGTAATGCGCTCTATGGCGAGTCGGAAACCGAAGGAGGTTCAGACTCCGGCATTTCAAAGTCTGGGGCTTAGGACTTGTCAGGTTAGCATGGCCAATGGATACCTTCTGTGCTCTTGCTAAGACCCTCTGCCTTACTGAGCCTCTCAACCCTTAACCTCGATATTGGCGGAGTCCTGATTCGCTTGGTTCCAACATGCGAGGGGTTTTCATTGAGACGCTGCAAGCCGTACAGTACACAAATCAACAGGTCATACTACCATGGCTATCAATACCTTTCCAGTACTCGTACGTGATAAACAAAAGATCACTGTTGTGCATATTGTTACTACTGCTACTACTAGTGCTACTTCTAATGCAGACTGCCAATGCTGCTAGCTACTGCTGCTACTGCTATGCTACATATACTGCTACTGCTGCTGCGACGACGACTACGACTACGGCTACGACGTCCACGAAGCGGTCCACAACTACTCCTACCCTTCTACTAGCACCGTGCATGACTATTGTCTGCTGAATGACCTTAGACGATCTTCCCTCATCCTACATATAGTTCAGCTTCCCTCCCTTTGCGTAAAACTGGCTGTGAGCCCATCCTTTGTCGTTTAGCACATAGTTTTGTAGTCCCGACCTCAATGCATTGTCTGGCGGACTCTGTGCCTTAGGTCTATGCAATGTAGGGCTTGGGTAATGGAGGTTTTGTGTACAAGCCTGAAAGCATCCACCCTAAACCCTAAACTCTAAAACATCATGTAAGCTGTAAAGCCCTAGACACCTGAACGAGAATGGCCCTGCCCCTTTGTAAACCCTAAACGCCCTAAAACCCTAAACACCTGAACGGAACGAATACGGAGCTTAGCTTTAAGTGCGGCCCAGGAGGCACCCCGTCCGTGGGTGGCGACGCCGGCCCCACTTTGGAGCATGAGCCTCGCAAGCAGGTTGAAGGCCTAGGTCAGTTTCGGGTTCACGGTTTAGGGTTTAGCAGCTGGTATCTTACAATCTACAAGCGTCTCACTATCTGAGTTAGTTATTACCATTTGCTGGTAGTATAAGTAGTAGTATCAATTCTAGTATTTTTTTGCAGCTCTTAGTACTTCTCTGTAATATGATGCTTAGTCTTACTGTGGTTCTGGTTGCACTTATTACTGTGATGATGACGATGGTGATGATGATGACGATGATGATGTTGATGATAATGAGGATTATGAGGATGATGGTGATGATGAGGATGAGGATGAGGAGGATGATGAGGATGATGAGGATGATGATGATGATGATGCTGTGGTGATGCTGGTGATGACGAGCAAGATGATGATGATGATGGTGATGATGAGGATGCTTGGTATCACTAGGAATATGGTAAGGTCTTATGGCTGCCCTTTCGTTTCCCTGAAGATGGGACCTTTAAACAAAGCAGCTTGCAGGTCCTGAGGTCTCAGGATTTAGATTTTGGGCTTGCTAAGGTTTGCCTTTAAGGGCCCATGTACCCGAATAAAATATATGTGAACCCTAAACCCTTACAAACTGTGGCCGTTCGATAGTCCCTATATAGGTACTTTAGGGCCAACGTATATGCTGTTAGGGTACATGGACCCTTACAGTTTGGGTTTAGGGTTTAAGGTTTAGGGTTTAGAGTTTGGGTTCGAGTCTTCCGGGGTCTTATCTTCGGGTTCGGCTCAGGGATTAGTACTCAGGTTGCCAAGGGCTTCTGTCACGAGCGCTATAACTGGGGTCACATCTCAGAGGGCTCTACCTCTCTCGGGTTTCCTGCAGTCGGACAGCGTCGGGCTGGGACAATTGGGATTTCAGGCTCTCGGGTACTTGCTCTGTTTATAGGTGTTTAAGCGCATAGGGTCTACGTAGCTGTCATTGGCTTTCGTTCAAGCAGAAGCCTACTTCGGGGATCTTTTGCAGTTCGGACAGAGGCCGCAGCATTGATTTCAATAGGGGCCCTCATGTGCCATCACACTGTCTTGCATGCAAAACAGCAGGAACATTTCCTATCGAACGGTTTTCGGATTGAAAACGTAAGATGTAGGAAGATACCCGTGATCTTGTCTTTGGCGTCCTTTCCAAGGGTGCACTCGTCACCGTTCAGGGAATGAAGGGATGTCTTGCAAAAGGGCCTGCTGCTGTCACGAACCCTAATAAGGGTCCCTGTACTGTGGCCCTTTAACCAGGCCCTTTTATAGGAACTTGAGGGCCAAAGTATCTACTATTCCCTAAGGGTCCATATACTCAAATAGCATATACTTTGGCCTTAAAGTAATCTCTTTTTGGGTACTTTAGGGCCAAAGCATATACTATTTGGGACCATGGAACCCTAGAAGAAGATACTTCCAGAATTTGTGCACACTATCCATCAGTTAGGGGGGGCTGGAAGTCGCTGAGCAAATAGTGTTGGAGCCGTAGTAGATAGAATCAGCTAGAACAAGGTTCTGGGAGAAAAGATACTAATGCTTATAATAGGGACTAAGTAGAATGGGAGGAAGACGCGCTAATTGCTAAACTCTTAAGCGTAGTTCCCAAACCCCAAACCTCAAACCCAAACCCCATACACCCTCAACCCTCAACCCTAAACCCGAGACCCTCAACCCTAAACACCACTAAACCCAAAACCTGACATCCTTCATCCCGTAATCCCAAAACCCCAAAAACTGCCAAGCCGCTCCAGCACTTCACGCACATGGGCAGCTGTCTAAATTCGGGTCCCTTTTCTAGGTCCCCAAAACAGCACGGCACGCTTCAAAAAAAGGACCCTAGAAGGGATCCTAAGTTAGAGAACTACCCACATGGTTTAGGGTTTAGGGTTTATTAGGGGTTTATGGGTTTAAGGCTTAGGGTTTAGGGTTTAGGGTTTAGGGTAGGGGTTATTAGGGGTTTTTGGGTTTAAGGCTTAGGGTTTAGGGTTAGGGTTTCAGGGTTTATGGGTTTAGGGCTTCGCATCCTCCTCCCTATTGGGGTCATTCTACTCGTATATAGCCCGGAGCCTAACTATATGCTATTTTGGCACACTTTCACCCCTACTGTAGGGCCTCAAGGTTCCTATATTTGGAGAATAATGTAAACCCCCCAACCCTTTTCTAAACATGATAACGTTCATGTCGTGGCTGGTTCGGGGGTTCGGATTTTCCTCAGCCCATCCCGTAAACCCTAAACCCGAAAAACTTAAACCCCCTAAAAGCCCTAAACCACCAGCACAAGCCTCAGAAGATCGCTGTTGCTGCCCCTCAAAGCGATGGAGATCGCGGACCTGAGCCCACGAAAGAGGTGCCTTCAAGGCCTAGCTCGGGGTCCGGAAGGGGCCTAGTAACTTTTGTAAAGCTTAGGATTTAGGGGTTGGGGTCCCGGTTAGGGCTTGAGGTTGTAGGGGTTTAGGCTTAAGGGTCTAGGGTATAGATATATGAAGCTTCAGGCGTAAACCCCATCTAAGGAGCCGCAGATAGGGACACAAATCTTCCTCACTCGATCGATCTAGCCCTCTGGCCCAAGCCATTCCCGTTAAGACTCTCTGCGAACCAACGTCCTGGTTGTTGGCCGGGGTGCTGTCCTTGGAACTGTCCTTTCTCGGCTCGGCGGCCCACATCCGCTTTGGCTGCGCAAAGGATTTTCCTCAGCTCTTCACAGCTTTACTCGATCGAGGGACTTAGTCAAGGGGCTGTACACTGTAAGCAAGTCGTAAGTACGCCGATAAGAACACATGTCCTAGCCGCTCTCTTGTTCTGTGCTGGTCATCGGGGTTGTGGGTGCCCAAATAATTGGGGTTCCATTCTCATAACTTGATAATCATGTCCTAACCCAATCCGCAAATCCTATCATGTCCTAACCCAAACCGCAAATCCTATCATGTCCTAACCCCAAACCGCAAATCCTAAAATGTCCTAACCCAAACCGCAAATCCTATCATGTCCTAACCCAAAACCGCAAATCCTAAAATGCCCTAACCCAAACCCCAAATCCTAAACCCTGACTAACATCCCTAAACTCTTGGGGTTACAGGCCGTCTCGACTCTGCAGGCTTTGGGGTTCCAGGTTTCAGGGGGGCTCAGGATCAATATGGGGGTTTCCGAAAATAGGGGACCCCAAAAGAGTAGGATCCTTATTATAAGGACCCCCAAATAAGGTAACCCTAATTTCCGAAACTTCCATATTTGGAGAATAATTGAATCCAGGAAGTCGGTTCTTGCACAAGGGCTTCTCACCCCAAATTTTGAACGGACAGATAGTGCTGGGATTCCCTCTACATTACTCTTCAGGATTGAGGCTACTGGGCTTCCACTTTTGGGGGCTTCTACTATAAACCCTAAACCCTTAACCTACACCTTCCACAATGACAAAGCGAGCTCCTCGAGCTCGCGATTACATGGGGCCAGGCTCAGGCGTTTGTCCCGAGGCTAAAGCTTTAAAAGTTCCAAAAATGGCAGGATAAGAAAGCTGAATTTCAACTCCGACGGTGATCTCCAATAATGGCAAGATAAGAAAGCTGAATTTCAACTCCGACGGTGATTTCGCCATGGATCAGCGATTCATTCAGCTGCAGATTGCTGGAGGAACCTCAGCTCTGCACATCTTCGGCTGAAGGATCTCGGTTGAACGTCTCCTTTCTGCCAACCCAACACCGGAGTTGCCCGGCACAGGGGCATTTTCTCTAATTACAGTCACCAGAGCTTTGGTGACCCAGATGAATTCTAGTTAAAAGAGGCCCCATACGACAATCTTGATTACGGTTTTCGGGTGCATTATAGTGTGGTTCTAAGAAAGAACCCAAGAATGCGTCATGGGTATGACAGGCTCGATGCCTTTTTGCTTGATGCACTACCCGTAGTTTAGGGCTTATAGGGTTTAGGGAGAAGGATTGCCACTACGGGATTCTTGTTGCCAGCCATTGCTGGCCTGCTGGGGTTCAGGGTTTTCTCTGTCACCCTGACCTTATGCTCCTAAGACTCTCACTGGACCCTGCGCCCTGGACCCAATGCAGTTGTCGAAGAAACCATCATCGAGGAATGGAATCACTAGAGTCACCAGACCCTCCACCCCAAATCCTAACCTCGTCACCCTAAACCCCAGACCCCCAACCCCAAATGCGACACCCAAAACACAAAGCCCTCAGCAGTATAGTCAGGACCTAGGCACGGCATGCGTGGGCTGCGAGGCAGATGGGCAGGTCACCCTGGATTTGCCAAGAACCATACCAGCCCGTAATGGGGTTTAGGGTTTGAGGTTTGGGGGTTACTGTGTAGGGTTTAGGGTTTAGGGGGGTGGGCTTTACGGAAGCGCTCTAGGCTCTCACTACTCTTACTGGTGTGATTCGTGCTACTGCCACCATGGGAACCGCAACCAAGTCGGAAACCAAAACCCTAGACCCTACAGCCTAAACCCTAAAGCCTAAACCCTGAAATCTAAACCCTAAAGCTGATTTCCTAAACCCTAAAACCTCAGACTCCGAAGCCGAAGCTGACCATTTCAACAGCCTAAACACCCTTCTCCCCGAACCTGCCGTTTTCGGTTTCCCTTAATGGTCTGGTACTATAAGGGTTTCGGCCGTGAAAGTTCTTGTTCTTGGTACACGTTCTGTGGTTCGGGTCCGAAACTACAACAAAAGGATTACCAAATTTGGTTTAGGATCCGAAACTACTACAAAAAGCGAGAACCAACAAAACGGAACTACCACGGAGACTAGTGTGACTATAGGTGCTAGAGACCTTTCACCTCAGAACCCTTCGCCACAATGTAGGGTTTAGGAGTTTAGGGTGTTAGGGTATCGGCTTCAAGATTTAAGAGCCAAAGGATCAACAAAAACTATCCCTGCCAAGAAACAAGCAACGAACCACAACTAAGGCGTTGCGTTTACAGTGTAGCGCATTTTCAGTTCCGCTTAGCCAGAGCAATCAACTAGTTATAGTTCCGGTTCATTGCGGCTGGTAGTTTTGGATGCCCTGCTTAATAATGAAAAGGATCGGCTTCTAGTGAGGGGGATTTCATGCGGGACATACCTAGGCCCCGACACAACAATGTCAAATCTAAGCGATCACCGAACTGTTCAATGCCACAACCTATATCCGTNNCCCCCCCCCCCCCCCCCCCGAAGTCTTGCACAAGAAGATCAGCACTTAGCTTTTAAAACTGCGAAGCTTCAAAGGCTCCGGCATGAGGCTTGGGCGCCCGTAGAACCAAAAACCTAACAGCACTGTCAATACAATCTCTTAAAGCTTATTATAGGGGCATTAATAATAAGAATAAGGTATTTGGGCCCACTATACTATATCATAATAAGGAACCCC